TTTTTCCTAATATTAATAACAAAAAAGTTTTTCATATTTTGCCAACTTACGTAGACAGTTGGAGGCATAAAAGACACTTTTTTATTATTAATATTATGAAAAAATTTATTAATTGTAGTAAACCGAGTATGGTCTAAAATCTAAAATACAACCATCGAATATCAATTTTTATCAGTTGTATACGAGGTTTGTAAAAAATAAAGGTACATTAATTACTGTTCAGCAAAATTCATATTTTTTGACAAACTTAGTATACGGCTTAAAAAAATTATTATCTGATGGTTCTATTTTAGGGTTTCTACCATGCAGAACTTTTTACTGAGAATAAATTTCTCAAAACCAATAAAAAAAAGTTTTCCATAAGGTTCCAACTTAAGTGGACACACTGTAAAAATAGAACACGACTTTATACTGATTCTTAAGATATTATAAAATATCAACTATTTTGATGTAATTTTCTTGTTCTACCAGATCACGTGGGATACGGGTATTATTGTTATAATAATTATGTTTACTGAGAGTCATATTTATGTCAGAGTTTTTCACCCTTCGTATAATAAAAAAAGCAATTACGTTTTATCTCACTTAAAACTTTGTGAATATCAAGAAATTTTTTATGGATTAAACCAAGTTAAAACCCAGTTAAAACCAGTTAGACCACTATAACGAAAACTATACAAATCATTTTTTTTTTATTCCTAAGATAGATTTTTTAAAGGTAAATCAACTCCTAAATATAGTTTTTTGCCAAGCATTCCTCGAGGACGCCAGACCGCACTGGTTAGGTAAATTAGTTAACTTATTTTTGCTCATTTAATATAAAAATTTTTTCCTAAATAACTCGCGATGGCTCCAGGCCGCACAGGTTTGGTCATTTAGTAAAGTTTTTTTGAATATTTCTCATTTTATGTACATCTTTTGTAACGCGATGGCCTTACAAGTTAGTTATTAGGTTTTACTTATCATTTTTCTTATTTTATGTATAATCTTTTTAAACCATTATTTGATTCAACCATCTGATTTCATGTTTGAGATGTAGAGCTCCCCTAGAGTTATAATACTATCAGGTACTTTACCGTCTCAGTTAATGTCCGGTTAATAGTATTGGAGCTTTTAATATTATTGAAGATGGTGGTGAAGGCGGTAGTAAAATGTTAATATTTTCTGTAGAATAAACTTGTAATTTTTAATTGGTGACATTTTATTGTGCAAATATGGAAAATATTTTTTGAGGGAGATAAATTATATAAGACCACTGGGATTTTTTACAATTTTGTGTTTAGAAGGGTTGTTTACTCACGAAAAACATTTTGTTTTTGTTTCAAATGCGGATTACCTATATGAACTGCATTTTTGTTCCTAAATCGCTTTGCCATATATTATTCCTTGCGTTCTTTGGACCTCTACAAATCGTATTCAAACGATGACCATTAAAAAAATAACTTACTGAAATAAATAACATTTGATTACTATTTGTACTACTATTTATTTAACGATTACGAATCATTAACTAAAAATTATCGTTATCATAAATTCTGCGACTCTAGCGCCAATTGGTCTTCCGTGACTGGGCGTAACGTAAAGCCATTTCTTGTTACATTACTACGAGGATATATTATGGCTACTCCGACCCTGAGTACGTATTTACCAAAAAAGATTTAGTTTCGGCACCAGCTGATACGAAAAGAAAACCCAACCAAACCTGTGGGCCTTCGAACCGGTCAAGTGTCCTCTTTCGTCGATACGAAATACACTGTCGTCGACATTTCGAAAACCGTTCAGTTACTTTCATTCAAATATGGTCACCGCTAGCGCTTCTTGTTTTTTTTTTTTCACTTACGTAAATCGTCTTTGAATTTACATAAGTGGGTAGAGTCTGATCTACATGCATAAATTATCGCTTATGAATTTTTAGAAAAAAATTGTTTCCACTTAAGGACTCATGGAAATGTGTATAGAAACTAGAATTTATATAAAATGTTCTAACGGTGTGTTAATTAAATGAATGCCCACGATTATAACGCCAAAAAATATTGGCACCGATTAATGACTTCCCGATGTCCAGGAAATGTTCAAATTCATTTTTAGAAAAGAGAAATTTACATTTTCCCATTTATAGCATAGCACTTAAGTTTGGCTAAAAGTTTGACTTCAGTAGATGTGATCAAAACCTGGTAAAATAATATTTTTTTTAACAAACATTTCTTTAAAATTAGTAAAATATAAAATTAGGTAAAATATGCTTTATATTAGCTTGCAAGGGTTTTAATTTTTTTTTTTTTAATAAAATATTAGAAATGAGATTTTATCAGCCATATCTAAATGAATTGTTATAAAAACATCAAACCTTATGAATATAAAAACTGTTTGAATTAAGACATTTTCAAAAATCTTTAGAAGGGGTTCTGTTTTCAAATCAAAGATATTATATTAATTTGCTTTCAATATTCTCTAAGAATTTTCTACTTACTCTGTCACAATTTTTCTTTTCTGTTTCCCCTCTACAGAAGATTTTTTTATTATGGACAAGACCAAAAATCGGTTTAACAGTATCTACAATATTTAAAAATTTTACGAGTAGAAAAAAAAAATAGTAGCCTTTTCTTTGGACGAATATGGTTACATTGTTGCAATTTTACAAATAATTCTATTGATCTTTCTAAATTTTAAAAATATATATTAACTTCGATTTGTTATACAATCGCAGAATCTCTTATAAATAAAAGGATACATATTTAAAATTTTTTTAAAGATTCTTATTAAAATGACTGAACACATTCAGATAAGCTAACTTGCCACTATTTACAATGATTAGTGCCTGTTTTGTCTATTAAAGTTTAAACTAAAATATGTAAGGTAATATTTTATCATACCTAGAACCACAACTAAGTTATTGAATAATAAGGAAATCTTAAACCACGATTTTTACTTTCTATACTAATTGTTTGAATATATCTGGATACATGGTGGAAATCTGTAAAATGTACATAATTGTAGAACTTTTAAATTTTATGGTAACTTGTTCCAGGATTTAGGTATACCAATTTCGAATTTATTAAAAAGATTTAATATTTCTAATCTTATAATACCGCATTTTAAATTAAATTATATTAAAGCATAACCATAACATATATAATATCTTTTTATATAAAAAAATATATTTTAGATCAATAACTCAATAAACTGTCAAAAACTTTAGCCACTTGGAGCTGTACTTATTTAATTATTAGTCGAACACCCTGGTCTTGTAATTAAGGTATCATTTTGGAACGCGCTACAGACGACAGCAGAAGTGACGGCAAAGGAGACCAAGAACGGACTCTTCACGTCTGAACATATGCAATTATATGAAACACATTTCGCAAGACAGTGTTGACAGATGAAAATTTGCTCGAATAGTATGGGTGAAAAAGCAAACTGTAGATCTGAGCAGTAGATTTTATTACAGGAGAAAATAATTATAATTTGCAGTGTAGTAAATAAAAAAAAACAAGTATATAAGAAACGATAAATAAACATTTTTCTACCCAAATTAGAAAGCAAACAAATAATAAAAACAAATAATAACATTTTTAATATATACTTAACATACGGAAACAAAAAAAAAAAAAACAATGAAAAATAATAGGTATTTCTTTTAGGTCAGTCTGAATCAGATAAGTCAAATATGTTGTGTTTGGTATGCATGTTATTTTTATGATATCCTATTAATTCTTTGTTGCATTTTAAATAAAAACATAATGATTATCTTGAGGTTTTTTTATGTAGCAAACCTACAATAGTGGCTGCTTATTACACTGCTTTTACTTTAGCAAATTTACTAGAGAAAATATTCTTTGACTATTTGCTGAAGAATGAGGCAAACTTAATAAATTAAGAACAAAATTTGTTAAGTTGGCGAAAACAGTAGATTTCATGCCTAAAACAGGAAAACAGAGTCAAAAAACAGTGGATCTACTTAAAAACAGTAGGTCTGGCAACATTGATCGTTCCCTCGAATGGTTGTCTGCGGTTGTCACGTCGCCTGTCTTCTTGCGTCCCAAATGTGTGAATCGTAACGTAAATGCATCGGTCTCCTTTGCCGTCGCTTCTGTTGTCGTCTGTCGCCCGTTTTGTAATGGTATCTTTAGGGATAAATTCGTTATACGTTCATTGTGAACCATTTAAATTCTATTTCCACAGAAGAAAGAATTAGTACCGTATAATAAAAACCGCGTTCTTCAGAAAGAATGGATTCACTGATATTCACTATTCAAGTATTACCTACCCGTAGACATCATATTATCTAAGATAGGCTTGCCGTTTACCTGTTTAACCAACACATCTTTTGTCCGCATTATGTCAGAAGGGGAAAGGGGTATCATACGTCGCATAAAGACATAGTGTTTCGCAAGGGTTTATTAAAAAATATTTACTAATTAAATCTAAATAATATATAACAGGTTCAATAGATCTTCTGAATCAAATGTTCTGTATATTTTCTTATAGATTAAAATAGCAGCTCAAATTAAAGAAACCGTTTTAATATTATTTGAAATGACGTTGAAAAACTACTAGACTAATCCACTCATTCATAACGAAGCCCTTATTGTTGCATTTATTCAGCTTGTGTTTTATATTACACAGACAGAGCTGTCGCATTGACTGCTGCATTAGAAAGAACGAGACGGCTATTAATTTGAATGGGAACTGTTTGTGCGAGATTGTTTATCTGACGAGTGGGCATGGGTTTTATAAAATAAATCAGTATTTATGTCTACGACGCTTGCTTTACATAGCTGTCACACTTCAAAATTTATAGTGAACTTTCCTATAAATCACCTTCAACCATGATAGTTGAAACTAGAGAAATACATTAAACTGATATAACTCTCTACTGTAATTTTGAAAGCCTTTTGTGCATTTTAGAGCCTTATGTTAAATCAGTACCGAATTATAATTGATATTATCATTGATAATAATTTTGTTATAGTCATTGCTAATTATACACTTTGTTATAGCAGCAGCACGAACAGTATATTGGCCCGGCATATGACCCATCGCGCGATCTATCGCCGAACCTCCCTTCGTGCGATTCGTCCATGGGGGATCCAGACCACAGCATCTCTAGCGGCAGTTCTTGCAGCACTCCGTCCAATAATAACCATCAATCTTGCGGCTCCGAGGTCTGTAGGCCACCGCACATAACCTCTAGCCACCCGCCGCAGCAAAGGCCTATAACTCCGGCTGATCTCTGTAGGCCGCATTCTTCATTTGAACAGCACATACCAAAGATCGAACCACTGCAGTCTTCGACGCCTCCTTCTTCGCCTGCTGCAAGTTGTGCAGAGGAACATGGTAAGTTTATTTTATTCCATCCGTCTTAGCTATATAATCATGGTACATATGATCAGGATACCAAACCAGGATTAGCATCAAATAGGCGGACTAATCTGCGGGGTTACTAAGGCAAGGTACAATGCATCTATTATACTGCATATAAAGAGCATTAAAAATGATGATGAGTCTTAAAAATGATGAAACGGCTACCCAGGACTAAAACAGGCCAGAGTTCATTTAAGAACAATTGAATTAATTCACAAGAAACAGCAAATCAATTATTAATACTAGATATGTTTAAGCTATCATCTGAAAAGAACTATTAGTGTCATAAATCGAGTATAAGGATCACCTCTAAGCAGGTTTTGTAAAAAAGAACAAGAACTAGAAGAAGAAACATCAATACATGTTCTGTGTTACAGCGAAGGCTTAACTATAATTGAGTTTTTTAATTAGGCAAAGGAAAGCTTATATTAAATAAGTACATATGAGCCATTGTCAATATCTCTAAGTCTAGTAACGAAGTTAGATAATATTATCTAAATACCTTAGTAGCTGAGGACCAGAGTCCAACTCCTAATTTACTGCTGTACAGCATGTATCACTGAAAATTTAACATTCTTATCGTATACTGAAATTATTTTCACATGTTTTAATCAAAATAAGTGGATCAAGCTCAATTATAAAGATATAAGAGACATGTCCAGAAATTTTACATTTAATAAAATTAATATTGAATTGTTATTTACAATTTGAAGGATAATTAAAATTGAGATAACGAAACTCGTAATCATTCGTATTTCCAAAGTGAAGTTACAAAATAAGAATCGCTATAATTCCTTTAATACCTTATCCACGTCATATTTTTTAATTTTTTTAAATATTTCGCTAAGAGCTATTGTGGAAAATTAAAAGTTAATTAAACATATTTTTCTGTCTTACAGGTGCTATTTGTGCTGGCTGTGGAATGAAAATAGCCGATAGGTATTATCTTCAAGCAGTGGAAAGGAGGTGGCATACTTCTTGTCTACAGTGTTACCAGTGCAGACGGACATTAGAGGGTGAGAATTCGTGTTTCTCTAGAGACGGCAACATCTATTGCAAAAAAGATTATTATAGGTAAGAATATTTTTATAATACTTATTAAAATTAATTATCCAAATTATTATATTATAACAATTTCATTCACACAGAAAAATATTTTCAAAGTCTTGTAAGACTCTAAATATAAGTTTTTAAAATTTCATTACTAAAGGATAGTGGTTTTATAAGAAGTAAACAACGGAAATTCTATTTTGTGATTTGTCAAAAATTAGTGAGTAATGAGTTATTATTTAGTACTTATTTATGGATGAGACCTCTTAATATAAGAAGAAGAGTCTAATAAGCGGGCTTGATTTGTTAATGAATATCAAGAAAATTCTAACATGCAATATCATTGATCAGTTTAATGATATTAAAGACATATAGATGCAGAAATTGTTTATATTTAATGATGGTGTTCAACAATAATATGCAAAAAATTTACTTTGAAATGTATAAATAATTTAACCAATCCATAAAATATTAATAAAATAATTATATACTTGAATATCTTAAATTATATCAATATCATTACCACTAATTATTTCACTTGATTATTTTCGTATTAATGTAATTAATTAATCGAATTAAAACTATTATTACTAATTCTTGATCGAAATAAATCTATTATTGGTATAGCAGACCAGCAGACATCAAAATTATTTATTAATAAACTCACTTTCTAATTTATTGCGGCTATAAAAATTTGTAGTAAATATTAAAATACGACATTACTACAATCCAATTACTATTGTAGTTAATTTACAATTATCACGCTAATTGGTTTATACACTTGTGCATTGTATAATACAAATTTAATGAATCATTTTTTTATCATTTCGACCTTAAAGTTTTTATATGGTTCTATATTTTGTAATTATTCAATAGTTCCCACTTCCTAAAGAAAATTTGAGTGGTACACCAGTGCCTCGACGATTTTCTTGAACATTTATTTTTGTAATTTGTTAATGTTTTAAATTTAAATATTCTGCTGATTTTTGATTTATTTTGCAAATAGTTCTAATATTAACATAACTCTGAACACTTGTAAACACTGTTTAAATTTAATCAAATACAACATCTTAAAATTATAATAGGTATATCCTTTAGTTGCCGAACATATTTGTAAATTTATTTTTCTATCAACATCTAATTTGGGTAAGACATAGATTGTTGGTGACCATAGACTGGGTTTTAACCACATCCCCAACTAGCCATTCATAAAAGTGTATTTGTTGTGAAGTTCTCATCATCATCATTTGGTGCGTTTGATTTGATCATCGGAGATCTCCGAGCGCTTCAAAAGTGTTTGAATTGACACTCCGAGAGATCCCTAAAGTGTTTGTTTCGCTTTGGAGCGAGAACATAGAGCGAGCTCGATGTTCTCAGAGCAGAAAGATCGAGAAGAGGGAGAAATTTGTCTTTGTTTCTACCTATCTCTTTTTAATTAACTTACAAACAAATTTGAATCTCAAAATTAAAGACCAGACAAGAAGTCAACAAATTACTTAGCCGCTTTTGTCTTAAAGCTAAAATTATTCATCATAAAAAAACACAAAATGTGTGTTTGGAAAATACATTTTTTCTGTCCAGATCTAATCACCAGTAATCACTGTCATGGAGTATGAGAGCGAAGCGGGCATTTGTGGTAAATGCTGCATTTCAGGGCCATTACCCCTTATTATTAAAAGTTTTTCCATTTTCTTTACTTTTTGCTCACTATTTTAACATACAAACCAGAAACAATAATCACAAAAAAGCGAGGTTATGTTTTTTACTCTGTTTTATTTGATTTGATTCAATGCTCTATTGTGACGTCATCACTTCTCGGTCTCCTCGACGCTCGCTCGATCGAGTTTCAAATCAAACGCCTCTATTGAGTAAGGAAATTATGTCATTATGTCATCATCTATTGTATAGTCCAGGAGACAGTGACGATTTTCGGTATTTATTTTCCCAGTCAGCAAGCACGAATAGAGAATTGTAGGATTAGCAATTCTAAGCAAAATTCATATATATTTAGAGGGAGGATCCGATGAGCTGAGGCCGAAAATGCGTCAAAACATACGAGAACACGGCCCTTTTTTTCCATTGATAAAAATAGTTTTAGTAGTAAGAGATGTACTGAAGTTAAGTAAAAAAATAGTCTGATTAATCTGTATGGATAATATATTTGGCAAGTGCATAAAATACACTTTCAAACGAGTTATGTACACAATTATTTCTACGACCACAATTATTTAAAGAATGTTCCAGGTGTTTTGTATATTAAAGTGTTCGCATAGGACACATAAATAAAATCTTATATCACAATGTTTAACCTAACCAGTTGGTTTATTTATAGAAATTAAACATAATAATTGAAGATATTACAGAAGAAAATAGGGAAATAAATTACATTTCCTTTTACACTTTTATATAATAATTGTTTTATTTAGAATTCACTAATCACTTATTACTCTACATTAATTAAAGCTACCGAAGAATTATAATTATGTAAATAGAGAGCTGTATATTTATATACAGGCTGCCCAGCGACGGGAAGACATTATCGGTATCTGACAAAACAATTTTTGTTAAAAATAGTAAACAGACTATGATGTTTTCATCTAAAATATATTCAGTTCTGTTATTTCCGTTTTATTTTAAATAAGATGCCACTTCTATTACCTAATACCGATGGAACATGAAAAATTGCTTATTTGGAATATGTACCTTTACTTAACGCTCATGACGTCAGAGACCGTATTTCAGTTGGTTATAATTTGAAATAAAGAATTTTAAAATGAACTCTATTAATTTGTACCTTTACCTAACATTTACGGCATCAATAGCCGAGTTGACATCGGTTATATTTTCAAATGTAGAAACTTAAAATTAACCCTATTAAATTGTACCTTTACTTAACATTTGTGACGTCATTGGCGGAGTTGACATGGTATACTTTCAAATGCGGGTTTCAAGGCATTTTAAAACATAACCCTGATCTCAACAAACTTAGAAACTCTTCTGTCACTCGATATTTTAATCGTTACTTCTTCTTCGCATTTTGGCTGGCTCAACAATTATTTACATTTCTTTATTCCTTACCGCTTGCGAACCAGTACGGTTTAAAGAAATTTTAAAAACCTACTTTAAAAATGAAGATAATAATGATTTTCTCATGGATCACATATTCAGATCTTGACTAAATATATATATATATATATATATATATATATATATATATATTTACATCTCTGTATCATTGAAGCGTCCCGATAAAGATGCGCTTTAAAGCGCCCATGTCTGTTTACCCTTGATCTACTTATTTTAGACATATATACTCGTTGCTGTTGGAAGAAGCAGCTTAAATTAGGCGGATAACATTAAATTGAAAGGAAAACACAAATCGTTACTTTCACTTTATCGACACCTGGGCGTCATTTCAATTGATACACATTGCAGCGTCACCAATATTCAAATTTACGTATATTTGACCGCTTTTGTGGCGTCAATTAGCGTTTTGCGGTGTTGTCATATATTTAAATGATAGGCAGTTTAAGTTTTTGTTTAACTGTGTTAAAGATATATTTTGATACATAACGATAGACCTGCAGAGCGTTAATTTATCATTTCGGTAGCGCAGAGAGTGCGGCAGAAAGTGAATAATTTAGTTATGCAATATTGATTGTAATTTAATTCTGATTGTTTTTAATTATTATTATTATTATTATTATTATTATTGTTTTTTTCTAAGAATAATATTTCATTAAAAGTTATTGACGTTTCAAAATTTTGCCAGCCTTTTCATGCAGAATTCTGTGGTGTAGAATTGATAAATAAAAATTATGCCTTAGTAACAGTGTACAGATCCTCCTCCCATGGGGACATATCAATATTCAAAACGTATTTTCTAAATTTAATTATTTATATAAAAAATTTAAAAACCTAATTTTTATTGGTGATTTTAATGTTGATTCTAATAGTTTAAATTAGCATTCGCTTGATTTAATTATTATATTAAATATGTATGGTATGAAACATTACATCACAGTTCCAACTAGAATAACTCCCACTTCTAAATCATGTTTGGACAATATTATTTCCAATATAAATCCGGAAGTTATAATATCAAAAGTCATTGATGCCGACATAGCCGACCATTTGACTTTATTTTTGGAGATAAAAGACTTTAATATTTTAAGTGATACCAGTTATGTCAACAAAAGATTTATTAATGAACGTACAATTTTACAGTTCGCAGAAAAGTTATCTGAAATTAGTTGGCATGGACTAGAAATGGGAAATTACTGCTCCCAGGAGATTTGTAATATAATATTTACTATTCTATATCCTATTGTAGATCTATGCTTTTCCATAAAAAAAATTCGCAGTGGTGACAAAAAGATTTTGTGGTTTAATGAGGAACTGCGGGTACAGCGAAATCAAGTATTTCAAAACAAATCTAGATTCAAAAAAACCAATTCGTTAGAAGATTGAAGACTATATTCTGAATCGCGCAAAAACTATAGGAGGTCAATTAGATTAGAGAAACGTAACGCTTACAATAAAAGAATAGCTGCATCAGAAAATAAAAATAAAACAATCTGGAATATTGTAAACGCAGAAAGAAAATCCAACAACAAATCATCCAGTACATCGAATCTAACATCTGAAGACTTCAATGTAGCAGAGAAGGTTATTCAAACAATCGAAAACGATAATAATATTTCCTCTAATGATTTTATTAAAATGACACCGAAGCCCCCGTATTCGTTTTTTATGGGTCCAGTCTCTGAATCTGACGTAAGAGAGGCTATACTTCATATTAAAAATACGCCATGCACGGATTACTATGGCCTCAGTAGTCCCATGATTAAGGCCTCTATAGAATCCCTCATTAAACCACTTAATATTTTATATAACCAATGCATAATCGAAGGAAATTGGCCTAACCAACTTAAAATTAGTAAGGTATTGCCACTTTTTAAAAAAG